ACTCTCCCACATCAGAATAGGTAGCACATGCTCCATCACGATGGCTGCAGCCAGTGAAACCAAAGGGCGTCGGCGAGCCACTAAAAAACGACTAAAAATAGCAAGTGTTTGGGTAGGGATATATGCTCGCTTTCCTCAGCTGAGCTCTGGAGTTTCCAAAGCTAATTACTCACGAATTCGGGTAGAACTTCTACCGTAGAAGTGCCGAGAAGCCAATGAGAGCTTCCCTAAATTTCCTCCCAGGAATCGTAATTGACCATCAGTGGACATTCCTCCCCCCCACCACGGCGAATGATCCAAATTTCCACTCTCTTTCGCGACCGTTTCTAACGTCCAAATGAAGAACTTGAATATTCCGTTATTACATTGCAGGGCCATATAGGGCGTTAATGTCGAACTTGGGCTTGGGCTTTGGCTTGGCCACCATTTCCTCCTGTACAAAGGCGATCTTTTCGGACCACGGGGTGAACTTAATCTCCAGCGAGAGGTGTACAGCTCCAGCGGGTTCGCCTGATAATAATGGCAACTAGGAAGTCTATTAGGGCGTAGTAGCAGAAATACCATCTAGTTGGAGTGGCAGCCAACCAGTGGTTTTCGTAGAGGGAGCTAGATGTGTTAGATCTAGCAAGGCCTCTCCAATGAGGTCATCATCCGATGCTGCGTCCCAATCGTACCTTATAGAGAGATTCGGTGGTCATTCACACAAGTGCCGAAGCGAGCGACTGCTAACGATGTGGTTACAACTTATATGATGTAAAACTCGCTGAGAAGAAAAGTTCCACTTCTGATCACGACATATCTTAGGTTGATCGTGGTAAGATTCAAAGTATGTCCGCTTGAGTACCACAACTTGATTGACCTATGCGATGCCCCCCAAGCCTTACATCTGAATCTTCATAGTTTGGCAGGGCACATTGACGACCATAGTAGAGCACTCGTGGTTCCATACAGGGGACAGCGTCTTCTTACATATCGGGGAGCGTCGTGATATCTGCTGATGGAGTGGTATGTGAAATACGTCAAATCTCGGTTGCCTACGTTGTCGCTCATGAGCTTGACCACACAGTAGGGATCGGAGCTTGTAGCCTTTCCAACTATATTAGAATCAGCGGCCTTCAGGCCCGAAGCCTCTATGATGGTCACGTTGAGGAGAGCGTACAAGTCCCAACCGAATTTCACTGCAGCAGAAGATCATCAAACAGAGCCAAGCGGAGAACACATTATCACGTGTGGGGTCATTCATATCCAGCAAGCCCCCTCCCTCGTTAGAATCAAAGCTACCAACTAGTCTTGTAAACTGTCCAACTTTGCCGATGCCAGCCCCTGCAATGCTAGCGGCCTCTCCGACCGCCCCAGTGGCAACCGACCCCACGGCCCCGACCGCCCCAGTGGCCGCCGACCCCACTGCCCCTACCGCTCCAGCTGTCTCTTTCACGGCCGACTTTCCAATGTGGCCAACAGCTGAAGAGAG